AAAGAAATAAACAAAATCAACCCGGGCTCTCAAGTTGAATATGATACCCATAAATCTTCAATAAAATTTTTCGAAACAAGTTTTTCTAAATATTGAAAGAGAAACTTCAGGATCACAATAGGCGTGAGTGCGTGGGTAAGTTCGACAATCTTTCCCTCAAAAAGGGATTAACAAACCCACCTCAGATTTTACAGATGGCTCTTATCCTTGTGGAATGGAAGTATATATAATATACATAATCCATATCCAATTGACGTTTGCACAGACCTCAAAACCTTTCAAAAGAAACCAAACCCGAAGAGTTCATTTTCTAATTTGCCCGCTGACGCACGCAACTCTTTTGTATAGAGATAAATCTCATCAGTTTTAAGCAATGTAATAACACTGTTGAACAACTTTGTTCCAATGTACTCAAAGCCTGACGGGAATGCATGGTTTTTACAACAACTACTTTGCTTTATTGACCTGCCCGCGACGATGAAAGTCAAATGATGATAACAGTTTTAGATCGAAATTACCAAACAAACAGGCTCTTTCATTTGTCCAGATTCAAAAAGAGGAAAACCTTTTAAATTGAAAGAGACCTGTTCTTTCTTTCTCTTGTAACGTGTTCATCTTTTCCCTACCCTTGTAAGATTTTCAAGCGATGAAAAATAGAACGATAAATTTTTTCGCCTTTAGAAAACACATCAAAAAATTTTTCTGTTATTATTTTTTTTAATCGAAGGTGGTCTTGAGTTATTTTTTGAGACTTTAGGACTCAAATCGTGTTTCCACAACACTGGAAACTCAAGGAGCAATAGAACCGAAACGGCGACCAAACACACCCACATATTATGCATGAGTTATGCATTATGAGTCCCGAGATGAGTTGATGCGATATAAGTGCTTTTATCTTTCTGATAACATCTACAGCTGTAGAGCAAAGATTAATAAGTATCGAAAAGTTTCTCAGGATTGTCATGCAGGATTACTTCTGTTTTACTATGATTCGTGATTGGTCAAAACTCGCGCCACTTTCTTAACCAATTGAAAGCACTGGTTAGCTGCGTTTTCCAGCGCTTTGAATAAGTTGCTTCTCCATTTTTTCTCTTTTTAATCGGTTCCTTAAGGCGTTGTCATTTGTTCTGATTGGCCGATGTAATGACGTAGGGTAATGACGTAGTGGCTCAAAGACACTCGATCGAAACACACCCCACAGTTAAAGTAAAGTTAGCTTGGGTTTGTCGATTCTGATCCAAAATCGTGGAGCATTGATGTAGTTTGGAGGATTTTAGGTGAGATCACATGGTTTGGGGGAGGGGGGGAGGGGAATCATAAGACTTGCACTTGAGACTTGTACATGGATCAGGTAAATTTTTTCGTGACACAATCAAAATCCTCCGGCTCCCCCTCGCCCCTTTCCCGCGATAAATAGTGCCCAGTCCCTTACCCTCTACAAAAAGCCCCACCCCCCTCCCCCCTCAGAAACTAAAAAGCTACGTGAGTCTTGACCTCGGAGGAAATTATTCAGTTGAGCATTAACAATTCACAACTGACATCCTGTTTATATGGAGGTTTATTTGCTCAGGTGAAACAAATACGGGTATATTTGAGCTCTTGACCTTGACATAGCAATAACTTAAATATTTCCATGTTTTGCCATGATATCGGTTCCTCGTGCTCAAAAACAAGGTAACACAGGTGGACGCTTTGAGTGATGCCGCCTTTGAAAGAGGCACGTACACACTTCGCCAAAAATTTTTTTTTTTTTTGCAACGCAGTATGTAGAATAGACTTAAGTTTTAAGCTTTTCTATCTATGTGGACAAACAACAAAATAAAAGAGAAAAAAAAATTTATACCCTTATCCCACTATCTTCCCTGGCCCTGAAGGGTTTTTTGTTGGACCAAAGTTTGCATATTTTTTGACAGCTTTTTATTGTGTAGGATATTTTTCCCACGCACGACAAGTTTTTACGAATTGAGGACGGTCTGCAAACTTCACCGAAATTATAACCGGCAAAAGTTTCGTTCTGTATGGTAACCTATTTTGTGTGCATCGACCTGGAGGCGAAACTAAATTTAGGCTTAACTTATCAACTAGCGATTGCTGTGGCACGAAATGTTGTTCAGAATGAACGTAATGGATGTCAGGTCTACCATTATAGTCTCCCCGATTATTTGAACTTAAGTTTAGAGCGTGTCCAAAAGAGAGCCTTGAAAATTATATACGGTTATGATAATCATTATAGAGAAGTGCTTCAGATGGCAGAGCTGAAAACCCTAAGGGATCGGAGGGAAGACCTTTGCTTAAAATTCTTTAACAACATCGTCTCCAATCCCTTGGATTGTTTGTACCACTTACTGCCTTTCGACAACCGAGATCAACTTATGGAGTTACGACGACGCAGACCATTTAGAGTTTCCTTTAAAACAAATCGGTTCAGAGATACTTTCATTCCAGCAAGCGCAAGACATTTTAATTGACATCTATTACAATTGTATATGGGCCCATATGTAAATTAGCTCCCTTTTAGGTTTGATTTTATTGTATAGTTCTATTATATAATTTGTACACCTTTGTAATTCAGCTTCCAGCTGCTATTAAGGTATTCTTAATAAACGTCTATCTATCTATCTATCTATCTAATGTTTGATTACAAACCCCGCTCCAAAGACGAACAAAAGAGATAAAACCTCCTAGGTTGTCGCTTCTCTGGAGATGATTTTGGGACTTTTATCTTCATTTTCAACAAAGACTTCTGAGCTTCTGAGGCTACACTTGTGTCGTTCGTACGTACGGAAATTAAAAAGAAAAGCTTCATAAACAAAAGAACATTTATTTGCCAAAGGCTTTGTGTTTTTACCGCAATAATTTGACCTTTTCTTTATCATTTCCTGAAGCTGAACATAAGGTCCAACGACTCAGAACAGACATGCAAATGTTTGAGACATATTTGGCGCGCACAAACCGACCTTTAGCTAAAAAATTCTACAAAATAATTCGAAGTTGCTATGCTTACAGCTCTAGCCACAAGTGCTGTGTAGACAAAAGTTGTTTTAGAAAAGAAAGACGAACAAACAGATGTTTACTTCACTAATGTTCATTTCTGGAGAGAATGCACGACACGCCATTCTCAACTGAATCAAATTTTCAAACATTTCTGTGACTTGATGGCCTCAAACTGTTTCTGTAATAGTTTGCATGCTGTTATTACACTCAAAACTCATCTACAATATCTACTAAAGACGATTAAATTTGATCGTTCTCATATCTGGTAAGCACATAAAAGGTCCACGTTACCCTCATTAAGAACTAAGAGATATTGAGCTGCTCTTTCAGGCTTTCGAGTGTCAGCAATAGCAATGTCTTGCATTTAATAAATTTCTTCACGTTTGTTTCGATCTTTCTGCACAGCCAACGCGTGTAGTACAAGTTATTTAAATATCTTCTTTTCATATGTAAAACGCTGAACACTCACGCTTTCAATGCGGAGGTAAAAAACCCACGGCAAACAAACAAAAGCAACTGGCACTGGCCAGCCTAAAGCAATTAATATGACACGCGGTTGTTATGTAAACTGAAACAATACCGACATCTATATTTTGCACTGAAAGCAGGAATTGCTACTTATGCAAAGAAGCAGTAAAAAGTGAATTTATTTGCTCTGCGAATGTGGCATTCTCAGAATTTGGTAGATGCGTTTTATCAACAAACAGGGTAAACCACAAAAAATTGCTTTCAAACTTTCTTTTTTGACTCTAGAGGTACAAGCAAGCAGAAGGTAAGGTTTGAATACAGAGAAAATTAGGTGATCTATGCATTTATAAACACTTAGTTTGTGACTGAACCAATAACTCAACACATATCATTATTTCTTCTCTATTGCTTCCTAGATTGACACAAATGTATTTTTAAGAACCTTCTTCTTTCGCTCTTAATAGGAGTAATTCGATCCTTAGAAAACCATTTTTTCGGGATGGACCTTCGAGTCCAACTGAAGTGCACCTCGTTCAAAGAGTTGCTTGTAAGCGCTAGATAACTGGTTTGACTTTAGTTTCAAAACCAGCTTAAATTTTTTCATTTGAGAATTAGACCACCTCGTCGAAGATTCAAAGTAGCCTAAAATTTTCTGTTTAAAGCAGTTGCTACCCGATATGCTACAAATTGCTTTAATTTCTTTCACAGCATTAATTTGCATTTGTCTCACAGCGTGCGCGTTAATAGAAAGTCCGTTTCGTGACTTGAACCACGAAATTGATGATTTAAAAAGTTGAAACGTTATAATGAAAACTTCCAATTTCCCTTGAGATACCTGTCGCTAGTTCAAAAACTAAGTGACTTCATCAACCAAAAAAATGATGACAGTCATTTTCGTTTAAACGAATGTAGAAACGAATGCTTGGCAAACTTGAAGAGTTGGAAAAGCGAAACTTATTTTGAGTTTTCAGTCCAAAGATATTTTCGACAAATTGCGCCCCGCGTCATGTGTTGTGTCCTGAGTTGAAAGCTCTTCCACTTTAAAATGCCAGGAAGCGAGGGCATATGGTCTAATTGTGCGACAATTCTACCTCGCGTAAGCCGCATGGAGATCTTTTTTCGTTCAACGGCCAGCTTGCATTTTCCTTCGAAGGATTCTAAACTTTTATGTATTTTGATGAATTACCGGTCTAATGTTAATGTTAAGCTGAGTGTATGCGAAATATGGTATTTGCGGCTACAAGCATGCAAAACAAGCCTTTTTAGTACACCAGAATGGCTAAAAATAGACTTATAGCCTATTAATAATTCTATTGGTTAATTTTGACGCCGTACAACGGAAGACGATATTCATAACAGGAAAAAATAGCAACAACTCCCCTAACGAAACCTTAAAACCCGCTGATCGATTTTAAGTTTCCTTTATTCTTGTTTGGTAAAATATGAGTGTGTTTTAGAGGTTTAAAATACTTTAAAAAAAAAAAATTTAAAAAAAAAAAGCGATCGTTTGCAGAAATATTTTGAGTGGTTAAAAAAGAAAAAAAAAGTCAAATATGCCGAGAAGCAGGGGTTAAATGTAGAACATCCGGACCTATAAAGTAGAATTTCATTTGATAAGTGACCATAAAACGTTCCAGGTTTTCCTGTACCAATATTGACGACCTCAGTTGCAGTGTCGATCGATATTATGAAAAAACAAATTTATTGAAGGCCTGTATGGGCATAACTCTCTACTGTACACTGCAGTGAACTAAATGAATGGCGCCGAGAGGAAAATTTAATACTTCAGAGCGGAATAGTCGCGATGTAGGTTTTTTTTTAGATTCCCCAACTTCACTTTTATCAGTACTTCATAGCAAAGACAATCACGAATATAGCGGGTAGTAATTAATTCTTGTTAAATGGCCATATTCGTTCATCGTAACACAAGAATATTACTGCACAGAGCTGAAACAAAATTTTGCTGAAGAACTTAAGTTTATCTGTCAAAAGAAGACATTTTTTGATTAACACAATGCGATTTCTATGTTGACGTGTAGCTCACTAAGAGCGAGTTTTTTAAAACCTTTCATCCTTCCCAATTATACCAAAATGAGAAAATCCGAAAGTAACTTCCGAAACTTCAAGTGTAATTTGGCGATGACTCTTAAAAACCCGGTTCGGTATGTTTTTTTTTTTTTGATAGCTTTGTGGTCGTTACGTAGTTGACATCACTTATGACTTCAAGGTTTATATTTCATAAGTCATATTGAGTGAATAAAGCATGAGGATGTTGTAATCACATTGCAAAATATTAACATCGTCATGGTTCATCAAGCCAAGTTACCAATAAGATGCTACTGTAGGAATCGGGATTCAACTAGCCATTCCTCTAACTGTTAAAAAATCTTGCCCAAGCCCTTAGTGTGGCATGTTCCGCGTAAATTTAATCGGTGAGATGGCAACGCGCCGCTTGGGCCAAGCCTTTTAATTTCGTAACCTTGTTAGTGAGCGAAACATTAATTGCTACTTGCGTAATTCGCCTACAGACTGCACGTACTTGCACATCTTTTGTTGGCCACGAGCAGCAGAATGACATTTCTCATTTTTGACTACTTCCAGCTGCTGCAAGCTTTTTAAGATAGATTACAATCAACTTTAATCTCACATTTACTGCCACTGATTTCAACACATCGCTTGCTTGACTGCTATTCAAGCGAGCAAACCCAGTTTTCAATTCACGCTTGCTGTAACTTTTTGATCGACAGTTTCTGCCAGTATTCAGCTTTCGTTTTGCCCTGCAAGTTATTACCACGATCAGCATTTAAAGGTGAGAAAAAAAATCTTTTACTCAATCCTTTTGTATAAAAATGTTGTAATGTTTATCTCCAAACTTACTCATTTTGGAGACTTCATTTTATGTGCCTACATATCGTATATTAGTTAACTCACTCAACCGTTCAAAAATTTTCCATGGCATTTGCTTGTAGCATTGTAAATTTTAATGGTGTTCCTTACAGGAGGATATCTGCCCATTTACTTATCATCATTTTCCACTTCCACATGAAAAATTCAGCTCTCTAACGACGAGAATTTTTGAAATTTTTATACATGCACTTTTTGTTATTACTTGGAACATTTTGATCTTGGGTCTTCCTTTAATTTATCATGTATGTGTCGTTAATTTAAGGTGGGACACAACTGCTTTAAGATTTGCATAAAAGAATCCTTTGATGAGCTGATAACCTCTCGAGGTACTTGAGTAAGGCATTCTTCGAAATGTCATTTACACTCATTTTAAAATTTCTAGATAATTAAATACATCAGTGCGATTAAATGTAGCACAGAATATTAAAGTGCTCTAGCGAGAGACTCCGCAAAGAAAAAAACGCGCACAATTTTTTGCAAAAGACCGCAGTCAATTTTACACACTAAGGTTCTTTCGCAATTTTGAAAAGCCAAAGATGTGGTTTTCCTTGAGTAGAAATGTACTTTGACCGGAAAAACTGTCAAATATATTGACTTGGAGACTGAGAGCACTTCTTTGACGGTGCATCTCTGGTAAATAGACAACAGGAAAACTTGTGTAAAGATAAACACAGGATGCAAACGATATAGAAGACCTCTATATGTGTACAATTAAATGAAAATCTTACGAACATTAACATTTTTCGAAAAATAACGGATTTTCTTTAAAGCAAGGTTTACAGTATTATGCTCTTTATATTTTATCTGGTCTGGTGTTATAATCGGCGAATCATGTAAAACTGCAGCTGCGGCCCGTGGGGATAAAATCGCTAAGTTTTTTATTTCTCTGTAGCTCGATTTTTCATAAGCTTGTATTCATTTGTTCGCCAAATAATGGCATTTCTTTGCCTCAAGTTTTAAAGCATTAATCTCTTCATATTTCTTAATGATATGGCTTAAAAAATCTGATCATTAAACCGCAAAATAAGGCGGCTCCTTTGAGCCTTTTAGTTCTTGATTTCACAAGCTCAATTTGACATGTTTGACATCTACGTTTTCATAGTCTGTCATTCATTTTACGTTGCCTGAAAAACATCCTGAAGTTCCTAACGCGTGACACGGCACATGACTTCGTGCTGAGTATCTGTCGCTGTGCGTTTTAATTTTTCGAGAGGTTGCAAACCAGCAAAAAGGGTGAAAAGGCTTATTTATAACTGAAAGCCGATTATAATTACAGATTTTAGCAAAAAATTTTGTTAATGATAGAAAATTATTGCACATGCTACATGGCTAGACCTTTTATTTTTTCTGCACCATATCACCTACGCAAGAACGATCCCTCTGTAAGATAAATCTCTAATTAATTAATTCATTCATTTGTTGTAAACTTTTTTCTTAACTCATGTTTCAATCAGGTGTTTTGTGCATCACTCTTACCCAGTCCCCAACGTTAAGATTTCACCCACTAGCAAAAACAGCCACAGTGGTTTTCATTAACTTTTGCAGGACCGTTCCCGAGCTTCAACGTGGCAAGAACCATTTCCTCTTAAGGCTCGAATCAGTTCCTCTTGGCGCTCAAACCAGTTTCTCTCCAAGCCCGAACCGGTTTCGTTGCTCGAACCAGTTTCTCTCCAAGCTTAAACCAGTTCCTCTAGGCGCTCGAACCAGTTTCTCTCGGGGCACGAACCAGTTCCTTTCAGTACTCGAACCAGTTTCTCTCGGGGCTTGAACCAGTTCCTCTCAGGGCACAGGCCAGTTCCTGTCAGAGCTCGAATCAGTTTCTCTCGTGCGTTTTTGGCGTCACCCTTCTTTTGCAGTTTCAGCTCTTGGATAGTTGTTTGTCTTGACGTGAGAAATGAGCCTATACGCAAACGCTTCTATTGCAAGCATCAACACGACATCCACTCCAGCAATATTTCAAACAAAGTCAAAGGTGGAGAAATTTTTCGTCTTCCTCTCCATTGCAGAGATCCTCATCATCCTTATGGCGCTCATCGGCAACTTCGTGGTCGTGTATTCATTCATCGTATCCACTAAACTACGAACAAGTGTTACAAATTATTTCGTAGTCTCTTTGGCGATATCCGATTTACTAACTTCAGGGTTAGTGATGACGTTTAAAGTGGAATACACTCTAAACAGTTACAAATGGAAGCATGGCAAGTTCGAGTGCGGTCTCTATACTACTATGTATCTACTGGCCGTGCCAAGTTCCGTTATAAATCTTTGCGCTGTCACGGTAGATCGTTACTTGGTTCTGAGGTTGCCTCTTCACTACGCCTCTCTTATGACTCCAAGGAGGGCAGTTTCTATAATCTGCTGCGTGTGGATGTACGCACTCTTTTGGGCGTGTCTACCTTTCATGGGCTGGAGATTTCATGTACCCATAATTCAAAACGGCCAGTGCTACTTTGTAAATACAGCAGCCTACAATATCACAGTCAATGTCATGAACTTTTTACTACCAATGATATTCATGGCAATATTCTGGTCTCTTATCTGCTCCATTGTCCTTCGGCACCGTGAAAGGGTTAAAGAACAAGAAACAAATATTTCTTTCAACACGAACGAATCTGCATGTTATTCTACCAACACTCTGTGCATCGGAAATGCCGCGACATCGATGCAACTTGAACCGATTGCCAGAAAAAAAAAGGCTGGAAAGAAAAAAATGCAGCGAAATTTTAGTGGATGTCGATACATTGGAATTATTGTCATGCTATTTTACATTTGTTGGCTGCCTTACGTGACATTAAGTTTGATTGCAAACATTTGTCTGTCGTGCATTAAATCGCCTATCACGCTAACACTGTCTGAGACATTCCTCGCGTTAGGGTTTTTAAACTCCGCTCTAAATCCATTTTTTTATCCATTCCACGACAAACGGTTCAAGGAAGCGTTTAGAGACATTTGGAAGAAACTGCGAAGTAAGAGTTTCTTAAAGGTGTTACATCGCAAAGAGAAAGTTTTGGAGGTAGCGAGACTGGAAATCGTAGTCCGTGGTCAGTGATTGGCAGAGAGGTTCTTGATTGAGTGCTGTAAAATCAAAACTAAGGTAATAGGGTTATTATCACAGGAAGCCTTTAAAATGGCATAATCTATGTGACTGGCCAGAAGAAGCGGAAAAAAAGCGTCAAAAGAAACCACAGGGAAAAAGGGCGGGAAAAAAACCGCGGACAAAAAAACGCGGGAAAAAAGCACGGGAAAAAAAGCGCAAGAAAAAAGCGCGGAAAATGGCGCGGGGAGAAAACCAACTGATTATATTGTGTCTGATTTAAGTTTTACATCTGATTGGGTGAAAAAGTGGTGTGAGATTTCTAAGCCGATCAAAATGCGCAGAGGATCAAAAGGCATTTCATACAATTTCGGTTATTTTCGACGCTTGATTGAACACTGTTTTAACTGTGATTAAAGTAGAAAGTATATATTTTTTTATTAGAGAAGTATTAGATTCATGAGATGCATTAAAATCATTATATCCCATTCAAAATGACAGCCAATTTGTTTTGCGGGTTCCTTCCTCGTTCTCACTTACAAGAAAGAAAGAGGGCCTGGGAACGAGATTGACTGGCAGAGTGAGCGCTCTCTTGACGTAATTATTGCTAACTGATTCACGTGCTATCCGGGGAGATTGGACTGGACTTCAACTAATGTAATGCTGCAGAGACTTGAAGTAAGATAAGCGCAAGGAGATCTTGACCACTTGGACTACAACTGCTTTTGAAACAGATAATAATAAACATTTTTAAAAAATCCAGTCTCTTAGGCTCTCTAAGATGAAACTATTGCCAATTGTAAATAAGTTTAAGCGTTTCATTAAGAAACTTTTTAACATGTCAATAATTATTCCTATGGAAAACTTGACATGATTTTGTTGTTGTTGTTGTTGTTTCTGCTTAATTTGTAATTGAAATAAATATTTTGAAGAAATCTTCTTGCAAGCGCTGAACTTTGAACGCTATCAAATATTAAGAAAGGTGAAAAACCCAAGCTATATACACTCTCTCAACTGTACTTGGGTTACTTTCCTTCTTAAATTTCCCCTTAAAAAGAATACCCACCCTTTTAAAAGTGCATTTGAAGAATTAGAAAATGAACTCATGTTTTGAAACTCTGTCAAGTCAGGAAACCCGCCATGCAAATTCACATATCGACCTCGTTCTGAAGGTTTTTGTCCGAGAGGCTAAATTTGCACGTGTTAATCTCTCAATTCATTTACATTTTTGGCTCCTCGTGGTCTGAACTGATTCACTGCTCAAGGAAAAAGTGCTAGAAAAACTCGTCCACTAGTCAAGTCTAACGTTTAAACGAAGCTAGAAGCATTTCGGAATCGTTTATGCCTTATGCTCTGACAGCGATTGAAAACCTGCCATTATCAGTTTTTTGTCAACAAAGCCCAAGGTAAGAGTCACACAGAATTCAACTCGTAAGTTCTTGTACAGAAAATTCTGATGTACACTAACACTTGAAGCGTAGGCGTGTTGAACTAGTTTTCGATAAAAGCTCCGTTAGAAGTATTTTGGAGGAAAACAATTCACAGCCTAAGCCGATGCGGTAACTTCAAACAGATTACTACTTCCAAATATACGAAGAGTAATTCTTGCCAAGGATGTGATTAGAAATTGAAAATAGATGTGGCTGCATAACAAATAACATCAGAAATTTTCGCGCCAAGTAAAACATCAGAAGAATTTTAGCAGGGTGTTTACGTGATTTTGCCAAAAATTGTTCCATCTTTTGTTGTTGTTTAAAGCAAACAAGTCAAGGATTTAATTGGTATGCTGCAGCTGTCTGAGGTTTTAATTTTTTTTGTTTCTTTATAATTTCTGCGAATCTCAGATCAGGTGGAATTTTACATGTCTTTTCTCTACTTTGTTGGCCAACTAGCATATCATAGTGCGCGTCATTTTTCTTTTCTTAGGAACTGGAATTTTACTGAGGAAAAAGATACCTTCTGTTTACAACTAGGAAACATTTAGGGTTTCTGAAGGATTTCTAGAAAGATCAAGTAATTAATTACAATTTCCGTAACAATGTTTAAAACATGTTTCAGGATTTTTATGTTGAAGCCTATTAAATTGTCCCAAACTCTATGGAACCACAAGAAATAATTAGTTTTTTTCACGTTTTGGATTAATTTAGATGATGCAAGTACCATAAATTAAGCGTAGGAGGAGGAACAGTTGGATCGGAAGCAAAAATCAAGCAACAGTAAGTTACAGCATTCGATTTAGCTTTGAAACAGGCTCATGTTGTGTAAACGTGGATGCTGCCGCCAAGCTGTTATATTCAAATTTTGTCGGTCAGTCGGCCGAAAAATACTTAATTTGAGTCGTTCGGTTGAAAATTAGGTGAGATTTCCACACAGTTCCATTCTATTCTAAAACAAAACTGTAGTTCCGGAGGTAATATATTGTTTTCATTACACATTTACTTATCCAAGAGCTGTATGCAAAACAAATATTGGGGCTGCGCAGAAATCTTACCGGAAGTTTTAAAAGATATGTTATAAGAGAAAAGTGAAGCGGTCAAAACGAAGTTTAGAAGCCTTGTTTAAATCGATTTGTTTGGATGACAGTTTCTTCAAAAGATAATTTGTGCGAAATAAGTTCTGCAAAAATTCTCACCTGCGTTTGATGAAGATTTGTCACGAAATTATGCCACCGGTAAAGAATGATCGGAATGAAGAAACTTTTCAGCGAGCCTTTGAGCAAATGATAAATAAAAAAATTACCGTTTCCATCATACCGTTTACGTTTTTACCAAATTTAAAAAGCTACCTTTCGTCCTCTGTTTCAGTTATAAAAAACATTTTGAGGATTTCCGCACAACCTTGTACTATTAAAAAAAAAGTTTTTGTCCCAAAGGTAATTTCTTGTGTTCGTCATTGTTTTCTTTAATCAAATAACTGGTTACGTAATGAAATATGGGTTTATAGTAACTCTTGAAAAATTATTTTCTTTCACAAACAGAATTTTTAGTTATTGAAGCAAATGTCTGAGAGTATTTGAAAATGCGCCAAACTCTTACATAGCGTGTCTGTCATTACTTCTTTTTTCAAATGCTTCGGGAATTTAAAGTAAACACCTTTATTCGCTCAATGATTACTTCATAGGGCACATTTGCGTGCTACTCGAGCAACACCATTGGCCACCTTTCAAACCAATAAAAACACGTCGAATTCTTAAAATTTCGCGTTCTCTCTGAATTCAGTTTTTTTTTTGTGCAAGCATCAAAACAGTGGATTTTTTGCGGGTTCAAACTTACAAATTGTAAAGTTTCACTTTTATTTAAAATGCGCCCAAATGTCATAGTTTGTGAACAGCGAAGGCCAACGGTCAACAAAATTGTTACGTCTGTTTTCATTGCGTAATTTGACCAAGTTATGGAAAATGCTAATCGTGAGTTGGGATTTATTATTGGGTTATCAAGACTAAATTTGAACGAACGTGTGTAAGTTATTTGGGAAAACAAGAGTATGAAGTTGGCTATAAATAATTTGAATGAATCGTGATCACCACTCCAAGGGAAATAGAAGTGCATGATAGACAAAGGATTTAAAAGTTTGGACGGAGCCCCTGTCAAGCATATTGACATAGTTATCAATCTTAATTCCGTTAGCAATTATTTCGTTTGTATGTTAACATGTTTGTTTACTAATTGTGCTATCTTGTATTTCCATTAACGATCCTTGTCGATGCTGATCATAAGCATGGAGAGTCGAGATTCAGCGAACACAGCACAACGGGAACTAAAGTTGTTCAAGAGCCGGAGAATGTTGGAAATTAATTTTAGAGGTAACAATTGTGAATTAGAAGCTTAGTGCCGCTAGTTTCTTTTCTCAAATCGTTGTGAAACAGATTCAGATTTTGTTATCAGCGTCAAGAGAACTCGCCAAGTTAAGATTGGTTTTTTACGTCAAAGGTAACTGTCTATTGTTGACTTCAACATACTTGACTCATCACAAGAAAAGGCTAAACTTTCTGCATTTAAAAGCAAGTTTACAACAAAATTTGAAATTATTTCGTCACGGAAAAAATGTCTAAAAAATAGAAACGAGTTTGACTCTTTGAACTTACTTTATTTAAAAGTTTTATTTTTTTCGGATACTTTGAATTTATAACTTTTTGTCGCAACGGTTTCTCCTCAAACATTCAATTCAAATTTTCTCTATTTCTTAATAGTTGATGAACTTATCAGACTTGCTGTGAGGTTCGTAAATTCCCTTTGCCTTGATTTGAGTTTCTGTTCCCATTATAAATTTTTTGATGAAAATTTGGATGATGGTTAGTTGTCGTTGAGAGACTTGGTTAACGTTGGGGATTTTTTTTCGTCCCGCCTAGATACTTGCCTATTACTGTTAATTTGACTACGACTTTTATATTGTTGTAAACACAGATTGTAGTAGGTAATAAAAACTTGCAAACAAATAAAAGACTTTATTTCTACTTTTGTATTATTTATTCCCTAAATAAACAAATTTAAAAAAATCCGCACTTTCAAAAGGGCCTGGAAACTAGTCAAAATATAGGCTATCTCTTTTACTTTTTTTGCGTATGGAGGGTTGCCGAAAGGAAAAAAATTCTGCGAATTTGAACGGGCGTCTGGCATTAAAACAAACCATATACTGGAATTTTGATTGGAGAAAATCTTTTGCATGATGCAAGATTTTTCCCGCCAAAAGACTTAGTATATTTTTTGTTCAATACTAGACACTATTCAAAAGGGCAGACCTTTTTTCCATCGACGAATTTCCCGCCAAAAGACTTAGTTTTTTTTTTACTGATTATTTCATCTTAACTTCTTAGTCTTTCTGAGAAAACTTTCCCGCAATAAAACTTTTCTTTTCGATATTGAGATGGCCCTTTTAAAAGCCATTGTGCGAAATTTCTTGTTACGCAGAAGTTGCTCTTCATCACCAAGTGCGAGTGACCTTTTCTCAGTGACTATTTCTCACGAACAATGAATCAACTTTATTTCGTTCAACGAAATGCATCTAGGCTTGTATCTTCATCCTTTAAACCTGAAAGAAAAAGAAGTGATCAATGGCAATGGTTTCGAGTGTCCTCTCAACTGAGGGAGTCACATTCTTAAACCTAAGAGACATTAGAGACAGCGAGACTCTGGGATGAGTTCGATCACAAGCCCAGGGTTGATTTCAAGTTCTCAATGGAATTTATTGGATTTAACTGAAAGCTTTCGTGATTGAAAACTAGAAAATTTCTCTATCGTTACAGCTTTTTTTTGATACCAAGCTCTTTTTGCTAAGACGCGTTATCAAATTCAATGCATTTTCCCTCCAAAATGAGGTCGATTGGTGTGTGCCTGCTATTTGACTATTTGGAAATTTTTCACGCCTTGTATTATTCTTCTTTAAATCTAAAGGTTACTCTTTCTATTTAGTAACAACAATTTTATAACTATAACCTCCCCTCCCCCCCTTGCAAATCAGTTTCACCTTTGGATGAACGATATCTCCTAAAAGCCTGATTACGTAACGAGGCTCTTTCAGTATGCTCATAAATACGAATTTTTGTTTCATCTGAGAAAGTTAAAGTAATATATTACGGTGGCTCGTAATTTTTTACATCTTTATCACGTAAGAATTTTGTGACAAATTCACGATTCGTGTTGTCCAGATACGTTTAAGTATAAAAGTTATGTTGCATTTACTAAATTAAGATCCACGAGAAGCAACTTCAAGAGAAGAGAGACTGCCCTTATTTCGACCTTTTAGAAAATTAAC